CATTATTTCAAGTCAACTTGTGTTGACTTAAGCTAACCTGCTGCTGCATGTAGCTTCATATCTATTGAGCAGATTTGAGATTGGTATCATTTTTATTGTCGTTTCCTATTGTTACACGTTAATCATGAAAGGCAGTCATTATTTTGGACCGCAATGTGCTAAAACCACTTCAAAGCTTCTTTTAATTTAATTGCACTAAAGTAGATAAGTTTATCAACAGTCGGGTTTATCTGGCAATGAAAGAGCAAGTGTCTTATCTATCACACCTGTTGGAACAGAACCGATATATAAAAAACTGGATGATGATAAGATGTTAGTTCCTGAATGGACGATCATAAAACACACAAAGGGGAAACAATTACACTTCCCTATATGTTGAATAGTTGTGTAAAAATCAACACTTCCAGTTAATTTAGCAAATGAAACTATGACAACAGCCTGGAACTGTCGAGCTACTTGTTGTGTACTGTCAGGTGTTTCACATTTCTACAAGAAACACTTTTCAGAGAAACAGAGAGGCCACACACCCACATCACAAAGCTGCACACGGCGTGTTATTTTGTAAGCAAAGTGATTATTTTTTTTGGGTGTTCATGCGGGGGCGAGTTGATGGAGTTATATCAGCAATAATGGAAGCAGATCTTCAATCTGTGGAAAAATACACCCTGACAAGCAGACATAAAGGCCTGCTCTTCCCAGGAATTCAGCTAACACACACACACACATAATCTGAACACTGTCTGTTAACGTGTGTTTGTGTGTGTGTGTGTAGGAGAGCATAACCCTCTCCCCTAGAAAACCAGCTAAACATCTGGTAAAATAAACCTCACTCTATGATGTGTGCTTGTTTAAACACCTTAAGAGGACACCAATTTGAATGGAATAAAAGATGCACGTGTTTATGTGGACTCAAATACACTCCCTTTTTCAGAGGAAATGTACGACATAGTTGGCCACTTTCCATATCAGCACTTTCATGACGCAGCATTGACTATAACAGAAACGTGTTTGTTTTCTTTCTTTCCATGTAACTATCAAGACTGCGAGTGACCAGACCTCTGAATTTGAATCTCAGGATTACTCTTGGACCAACAGATTAGTGTATTTAGAGTTATCTAAGAAAATAAGCCAGCTGCAAAAGACAAAAGCACGTTTATAAATATAAGTGTGATATGGGCATGTGTTAAGAAGTGTGTTCACATCATATAAACTAAAGAGTAGAGAAGGACATACTGGCTAACAGAAAACATTCTTCAGTAGTTACATTATGGGAATGGAGGTCACACCAATCGCATGCGTACAGTCTATGGCAGAGCGCCAGTCACGGGACATAAACGCCATCATCCACTCGAGTGGGACTCATTTCCTTCAACTCAACCCGACTTCAGGCAGGACATTTACAAGGGGGCTGGCAGGAAAAACTCCTGTTGAAGTCGTTGTGTAAAATGATCCCTCCATCCATTCATCGTCCATCCATCCGTTCGTCCATCATTCATCCTCCCATCAATCCATCCATCCATCCATGCATCCACCCATCTATCCATCCTCCCGTCCATCCATCCATCCTCCAATCCATCCATCCACCCATTCATCCATCCTCCATCTATCCATCCTCCAATCCATCCATCCACCCATCTATCCATCCTCCCATCCATCCATCCACCATCTATCCATCCTCCAATCCATCCATCCACCCATCTATCCATCCTCCAATCCATCCATTCACCATCTATCCATCCTCCCATCCATCCATCCACCATCTATCCATCCTCCAATCCATCCATCCACCCATCTATCCATCCTCCCATCCATCCATCCACCATCTATCCATCCTCCCATCCATCCATCCACCATCTATCCATCCTCCCATCCATCCATCCACCATCTATCCATCCTCCAATCCATGCATCCACCCATCTATCCATCCTCCCGTCCGTCCATCCATCCGTCCATCCATCCATCCTCCAATCCATCCGTCCACCCATTCATCCATCCACCCATCTATCCATCCTCCCGTCCATCCATCCATCCTCCAATCCATCCATCCACCCATTCATCCATCCACCATCTATCCATCCTCCAATCCATCCATCCACCCATCTATCCATCCTCCCATCCATCCATCCACCCATCTATCCATCCTCCAATCCATTCATCCACCCATCTATCCATCCTCCCATCCATCCATCCACCCATCTATCCATCCACCCATCTATCCATCCTCCAATCCATCCATCCACCCATCTATCCATCCATCCATCTTCCAATCCATCCATCCACCCATCCAATCGTCCATGCATCCATCCATCTATCCATCCTCCAATCCATCCATCCATCCACCCATCTATCCATCCTCCAATCCATCCATCCATCCATCCTCCAATCCATCCATCCATCCATCAGTCCATCAGTCCATCCATCCAATCGTCCATCCCCAAAAAAACATGACCATTAGAGATAATGCAGTGGGATGAAGATGGGTGCACAAATGGAGAGTTTGAGGATTTTCTCTCCTTCCCACTGACTCTCATTTACACATTTCTATCTCTCCTACTCACACACACACACACACACACACACACACACACACACACACTCACACATTGTAGATCCAGAGTCCAGAGCGCTGCACTGGAAGGTGGAGGTACATAGAATCAGGCAGGGAGCTTCTATAATTAGAGGAGCCTTCAGGAGCCGTACTGCTGAGTTGCTGAATGTTTAATGCCGGGCCTGCAGGCGTTACAGTCGCAAAGAGCAAACCTCTGAGCCCCTTTACACCACATCTTTAACACACACACACACACACACACAAATGGAGGAGGTTAGCAGCAGTAACAGTAGTAAACTTGAAGAATGGATTCACATTTCAGAGAGGAAACAGCAGCACAAAGCACAGACACACAGTGCACATTACAACCGATTGTGTAATTTCCCAGCTATTGTGTGTAACCTGAACTACTAGATGACATGGGAACCCAAACTGCCTCTGAATGAGGTAACGGTCAAACACATCGTACCAGGAAGAGGAACTGCTCAGAAATAATTTTTGTCAGTTTAACAATTGAAGAAATGAAGTTGAATATCATATAGATCAGATAATCCAGGAAGCGATCATATTTCAGTGTTTGAAAGCAGCAAATTCTGCATTTTTAATCCGGTAAAATGTCTTTAATAATGAGAATAACCTTCATTCACTCCTTATATGGCAGTAAAATATGCCTGTGATTAATGTTGTATACGTTTTTTAACAAACCAATATTCGAGTTGGGCTCTAGATCTTTAGTTTATTCCTTATAGCTGCCTTTCTTATAAATCTGAAAGAATCTGAAGCTGGGTTAATTTACTGCGTCAGGACACGTCAGGCTGCATCAGGTAGGATGTCAGTCTCTGAAAGAACATCTGCTTTTTCTTTTCACACAAAGGTTGTAAAAAAAAAAAAAAAAAGAAGTACTTTTTGATGCCACATGTTTTAAACTGATAAAATCTCCGTTATTTTAAAGATCAATAATATCCAAAAGTACAGAAGCTTTTAAAAAACACTTCAGAGCTTCAGTCATATTTCTGCAACTCAAAGACAGAGAGCCCTGCTTAATGTGCAGGAATACATTTAGTAAAGCTACGGTTCTGATGCTAAAACTCAAGAGTCAAAACTTAATTTGTCTTGAGCTCTTCCCCCATCCTGCAGCCATGAAAGGACAACATTCAACATCATTCACATTAAACATAAATCAATGAACATGATTTAATAATGTCCAGAAGAGATTTAAGAATATTAAAACAAATTAATATAATAATAATAATAATCTAGGCAGTGTGCAGGGGTTGCTAAAAACAATTGCCATCTACTGGGTGCAGAGGAGTCCTATTTTTTGTTGTCAACGTATGGAAACAGGTTTTACAAGAATCGTGTCAACGTTTTGTGACATCCCGATTTGACACATGGTGAGACTTTTCAGCATGCCTGTTTAATTCTGCTGCTCATTTCCATCCAGTACAAAGGTTATGATTATTTGCAGCTGCTGGAAAGTTACACACCTGTCATCTGTTAAATCTGTACAAATCCACCGTTTCAGACTGACTGCTTAATATCGGCAGAACAATAGGACAGCGTTCACATGGTGACACAAAGAACAGCTTATTATACCCTGATCCAAAACATCACCGATTACACCTCTTAATGACATTATGAAACGCTTACAATGCCTCTGTTTACTGAACCCACTTTGGCTGATGTTTGTCTGAATAGTTTGCTTTTGGAGTCAGAGTTCAACATTTATTTATTTTTTAACCGAGAAGGTCAGACAGAGTACATTTTTACCGCACAAAAAAGGCCACAGGAAAATGTCACTCCATCTTTTCCCACCATGTGTACAAAGCCTGTCCTCATGCACACATAAACTCCCCAAATGTTGTTATAATAATCCCGTGAGTGGAGTTTCTGTGGCTCAGTGTCTTCATAACACCTCCACCTCTTCCAGCACACTTCATCCCCACATCTCGTCTGAGCTGGTACATCTATTCTCTCACATTGTTTTGCCCTCTTCACAGGAACATACAGCATGTCTTCAGCCTGAGCGGAGAGCAGGGAGTGGCGGAGCAGACAGGAATGTTTTGAGGGGAAGGATTTTGAGTCTCAGGCATCCTGGTGGACTTGGACAATGACTGTACTGAAGCTGAAGACATTTTGGTTTTTAGAGTTTGACCTGCAGCAGCACTGGTTTGTTTCCTCACAGCCAAATGCTCTCATATCTTCCTGTTTCCTAACATGTTAGATGAGATTTTCCCACCCTGGTATGATGATTTGGGAGGTTTTGGTTTGAGTTGACCCCCCCCCCCAATAGGCAGATGGATAATGTGCCTGACATGTTGTGATTAACAAAACCAATAAAGCAATAATTTAACGATTCATGTCCCATTATTGTACTACACTCCCCTTTCTTTACATACATCCAAATAGCCTACCAGTGTTTTCTGTAACAAACAGCTCATTCAAGACTCACCCTGGATTTCTTCGCACAGGAGCGATGCGGCGGCCACTTCGGCTCCCTCCCTCGGTGTTTCCTTGCGGTTTTATCGCAAAGCCGCTCGGTACAAAGAGTCCTCCGTGACCGAGCCTAGCTCTCTCCTCTTCTGTGGCCGCTGGCAGGTGACTGTCAGGCGACCTCTGTTCTTTCTGCTGCCCGGGAGAGCAGCACCGAAACTCTTGTGTGTTCACCGCAGCTCGCTCCGCTCTCTTCCTCCGACTGCCGCTCCGCCGCCGCCGCCGCCGCTGCTTGCTTGCTGCTCTGCTGCGACCGCTGCCTTCTGACGTCATGAAGGAAAGCCCCGCTAGGTGACGTCGCGCCGTCAACAGTACGGAAACCCCGCCCCACGGCGTCACCTCCTCCCCTCAGGAACTTCAACAAGGAGTTACTGAAAACTGTGCGTTTGCTAGGAAGAGGAGTCAAAAAGAAACTAAGTGGAAAAGTTTTCGTTTTGGTGGAAAAATAACCAAAGAGGAAGCTCTGGAATGAGATGAAACATATATAGGATAGGAAGAATAATATCTTCTGGTCGTTTGAAGGTCACAAAACGAAAATGCAACGCAGAAAATGGTCTACTCTTCACCTGTACTTGTCTTGTGCAACCAGTGGTGTAGTGGTGCCTGAAGAAGTGGGCATACTCTCAATTATTCCACCAAATGTTTTTTTTTTTTTTGAGTGACCCATCCAGTGTCAAAGAAACACAACATGACCCATGACCCCGGGCAGCAACTTTTGAGTGCACCTCCGAATCTGCAGCCCAGCAAACCCACCAACATTGTAAGTGTCCCACTACCACAGAATCCACTACACAGGGTTATGACGGCTCGCAGTGGTTCTGTTTGAAAAGCTGCTGAACCAGTGGAGAGGCTACAGTAGAGCGAGATCTAACCTCTATTTTTTCACTTATTCACTTACTACCCTGGGCCCTCAACACATCCCGGGCCCCTGGGTAATCGTCAGGGTACCCTAAAGGTTGACCCGGCCTTCATCCAGCAGAGGACAAACAGCCTCCCTTACATGTTAAGACTCCTGCATGTTTAGTTCACCTTTTGTATTTGCATATTTAAACTCAACTTGTGCTGCTAGACTTTAGGGAGTAGGGAGAGTTATGAAGTTATCATGAACCACGAGTGGAGCAGTGTTTATCATTTAACTATCCAACAGACTAAAGGCTGAGACTGAGACATAGTGATGCTTTCTGAGTGAACTATTCCTTAGCAGGGTTGGGGGTGATGCCTTACAAAGAAAGAAATGCACTAGTGTACTCAGATTACTTTTGATGTAACAAATTGGTTTTGCAATTCAAGTAATCTTTAGTTTTTTTTTATATTTGTATGCATTATTTTTGGATATGACAAGTTTTTACAGTAAACTGTGTTGTCATTTATACATCATGTCATTTCAGTGTGTTGAGCAGAGTACAGCTTGACCTTTTTTCTGCAGTCCTCTCAGCTGAGCAGAAGTTGGTCAACAGACTTTAATGGTGTTAAAGGTAAGGGGACATATGAAAAATCCACTTCTTAAGTGTTTTTGAACATTTATTTGGGTAATCTGAGTGTCTGCCGACCCACAAAATGTGAAATAAACCCATCCAGTCCTTTGTTGGTCTGCTTAAGTCTTAAAAAACAGAGACATTTTTCTCTCCTTGTGATGTCACAGTGGGATTCTGGTAATAATAAAAAAAAAAACCCAGCCTGGAGCAAAACTTTTGTGCAGGTCTACCATTTTTATTCTCACTAGTGAATGAGTGATGTCTACCTGGAAAAGGCAGACATCGGGGGGAGGGGGGGGGGCTCATTGCATTTAAAGAGACACACACACCAAAACGGAGCGTTCTGAGAGAGCTGGTTTATACAGGGTCACAAACCTCCTCTGGTGCTTGATTCATGTTATATTTTGACCAAAGCACAGCACAGATGTTTCATTTAGACCACAGGGGGACTGTTTGAGAAGATGGAAGTATATATTGTAACAATATAATATTGTTAATTTTTACATACTAAAGATCCAACTTGTTGCAGGGAGTTTCAGATGAGTTTGTAAAACAGTGAAATTAGGACAGAGTCGTGAAATAGAAAAAAACAATGTGCACAAAGTGATAATTTAGGAAAGCTTGGGATTTATTAGAAGGGGAAACATGAGGAGGAATATCATAATTTTTTACAAATTAGAGCCCCACAGCATCGCACAATTATCCTCATCTTATAAAGTCTCAGGATCTCCCCCACTTTGAAATCCCCTCCCCTCCCCTCCGTCTGTCCACCCACCCGACATCTTTCCCCAGCTCCAAATCCTCCGCCCCGGTGGGAATGGAGCTGCTCAGGATTCAACCAGCTGGAAGAAAAAGGGAGAGAGGGGGAGAGAAGTTTGGTGTGAGTGAAAGAGAAACCACGACTCTAAATATTTCTGTGGTGATTTAAATGCTGGACTCTTTAGAGGGAAGGACAGAAACATTATTCCCATCCATCTCCCGAGTGCATTAGGCCAGCGCTGGCGTTCACATTCATAAGTCACATTTGTTTAGGTGTCGACAAAACCACTCTGCATGATTCAATTCTAAATCTTTACATTCACAGCGTTAAAAGGGGAACCAGAGATCATCGAGCACAGCTGAGAATATTGAAGGAAATTTAGCATGAAATTGTCTGGTTGAGCTGAATGAAGGGAAATCTGCCCGCTGGGACTGCTCAACATCTGCTATTGTTTTTCATCACAACAACCCCCGAGAGCACAGAGACACATCAGCATGCAGGGGAAAGTGCAGGTGACACAGTCTGCATGCGAGATATTTCCACTCAACACAAACACCAGGTGACTACAGAAAGGAAAATCATAGGTCAAGGACACACAAAAGGATTCAAGGACACACCCTCCAGAGAGCGACGTCACAGTGTTCAGAGGCCGAGTGAATCATAAAAAACAAGACATGACTTCTGTGTACAAGTTAAGATTATTATTTTTACACAACTCCTTTTGTCCCAGTGAGTGGAAATCAAATGTTTTGAAGGGAGAATTAGGTCAAGCCGATGGATCATAAAGGAGGTGGTAAGGAGGACACCTCAGGGAGATCCACAAACAAAAGCCTGAATCAAAAACATTTCCGTGAGGGGAAATTTCTCTGAAGGTTTCAGCGACCAACATCCTTCAGCTCGACTCTTTGATCCCGCTCACTTCACACGAAGCGCTGACGTCTGAGACGCTGCCGAGCAACCAGACGAATCCACGCACGAGACGCAGACTGCAACTTTTGATATCAGAGACAAAGAACAATGTTTGTCACTTCTGTGAGAAAGGATGCCTGATCCGACAGGCCTCTGAATACTTATGTGATGAACACATTTCCTTAATTTTTAAATAAACACAAACTTCACATTCAGTAAACGGGGACTTCCCAAGAAACGCTACAAAAGCTGCTTTTTTTTTTTCCTAACACAGCTCATTAATAAATCCTGTTGTCTTTTATATTGATAAAAAAAAAAAAAAAAAAAAACTTAACACAATGCTTTTAGGCAACTGGAGTTAAAATAAGCATCTTTGATGATTTTGTCTGAGTTATGGGGCAGCAGTAGCTCAGTCAGTAGGGTTTGAGGTTGGGAACCAGAGGGTAGTCAGTTCAAGTCTCGGTGTTGACCAAGTCTGGGAAGGTGCCAGTTCACTTCCTGAGCACTGCCCAGGCACCTTGAGCAAGACACCTCAATTTGACCTTGATTTTTTCCTGCCAGGATCCTTGTCAAATTTTCCACGTTTAGTCGGGGTGAGCTGATGTGAAAACGCAGCAGGAAAAAAGTCATGAGACTCCAGCAGCAGGGAGCGGGAGGGAAGAGTTAAGACGCTCCCCTCCAAGAAAACTGGCGGTCAGCTGACACTTATTTAAAACAAGGATGTAGACGCCCGTTTACAGCTGACTTAAAACATTTGAACAAATATTCTTTCATCACTGATACTTTTAAATCTGGACCGAAATGTTCCCGCTTCTTTTTTAAACGATCTTTCTGTATTTTAGTTTCTGCTCTTTTTATTTGATGTTCTCTTCAATGTCTCTCTCTTTAAATGTCATGATGTTTGAAGCACTTTGAAATGCCTGCATAAATGTGATATATTAGTATATTTATATTTTGCCAATATGACTGACACTCCTTCGTTTAAACTGTGGATCTAATAACACGTAGCATTGTTATGAAGGTAAATATTATCATGACAGTGCCGCACTCTGCTTCACCTGCTATTGGACATCACGGCTGCAGTGACCTGAAAGTGTGAATATGCAAACTTTTGAATATTTTCGGGGGCAGGCTGTCCGGCATTGTTGGTTTTTTCCATCGCTGTGGGAGCAGGAGGACGCTGCAATGGCTTAGCTATGTTGGGACAAAATAGCACGCGATTAAAAATAATTCATGCATTCAAAAACGTTATTATCCCGAGATTAACACAGTCACGCTGCCAGCCTTAGTTTCTACCTCTGAGGAAGGAAAGATGGAGGAACTGTATCTAATGTGACAAACAGGAGGAACATTCTGTGATGAGAATCAGAGCGTGAGGGAGAGAAAAGGGCAAAGTCATCGATTAAACAAGAGCAAACCTGTCCAGCGAAGGCAAACAAATCTGCAACAAACATCTTCTGATGAAAAGCATCTCTTTAAGACGTGAAGAGGAGAAATCAGTCAGAAGTTTAAAAAGTCATTTCTACAGGAGCGGCAGCAAAGACCTCAGCACCGGTTTGTTTTGTTGTTATCGTTCACTTCTAAAGTGCTTGTTCTGTCACACTTGATGTTGTGATGCTTTTAATCCGTTCTGTTTCTACAACAGGGATCACACTGGTTGATTATTGTGAACTCTCCTCCACACTGACGCTCCGTCTTCACCGCTAACCGCTGACAAAGTTACATTTTGTTGCCGCTGTGACACTTGATCGACTCTTGTATAACCTCCACCCGTGATAGAAGGAAGAACCCGTCGAAGGGAAAAGATGAAAAGAAGGGTTTTAAATGAAGAGCACTTGATCTTTACAGGCGGTGGCGCGCGCCGGGATTTCCGTGGCGGCGGTGAAGGCAGCTACGATGGAGGCGAAGACGACATTTGGACTCTTGGCGGCGTCGACGGCCGTGTGCAGGCCCCGCGCTCTGTAGTACTCCACCAGAGGGACGGTCTGATGGTGGTAGGCGGTCAGGCGGGAATGCAGCGTCGTCTCGTTGTCGTCGCTGCGGCGGATGAGCGGCTCACCTGTCAGCTGAGAGAAGACAAGAAGGGAGAAAACACATGAGGAGGGCG